CCCCCCCCCCCCCCACACTCTGTGGTGTACGCATGCTCACCCACATGTCTACAAGTAAGAAAGTGGCGGTGATGGCACACACCTTTAATTCCATCACTCTGGAGGCAGGAGCAGGTGGCTCTGTGAGTTCCAGGAAAGACAGGCTGCACAGAGACATCCTGCCTCAAAGTAAAACAACACAAGCAAACCGTGAAACCTTGATTCTTCTGTTTATGTGCAGGAATGGATTTAGCTGGGGCGTTAATCACTGCCCAGCAGGGTCCTTGAGTGTCCATAAGGGAGAAGACGGTTTTCCAGCAACCTCAGCCACCACACAGGTGAGTCGTTCCACTTCTGCTCAGCAAGACAAGGGTCACCTTGAGTTAGCACTATCAGGAAAGCCAGTACGTAGTTATTCCTCGGACTGTCTGGAACAAGGTGCCCGGAGGATGTTATTGGGGCTGGTGATAAGTCAGATACGGGCTGGGAAAGATCAGAGGTGAGGCAGGCAACAGCGAGGTGTGAGGCGCCCTGCGCCCTCAGTCATAAACCTGTGGAGGGCTGAAGGGCTAGAAAACGGGGGAGGGGCAGCACACAGCACACAGGAGTGCCCAGTGCACACACCTTTCCCATATCCACCGTGTCCACTGAGCTGGATAGAGGTAGACACACCTCTGACATCCCGTTCTCCCTTAGACTAGTCAGAGGCACAAAACACGGTAACAGGAGCCTGGGCAGAGGTCCACAGCAAGGACCAGTGATCTTCAAAGGCATAACAGCAGTTCAGTTTTTGTTATTATTTAGTACCAGGCATTAAGCCCAGGGTTTTCTAGAGCTCCACCCCTGACCACGCCCCCAGCCCTCACTGGGGGTATTCTAGGTGGGGCTCCATCCTGACCACGCCCTCAGCCCCCTCACTGGGAAGATCCAGGGTGGGGCTCCATTCTGACCACGCCCCTAGCCCCTTACTGGGGATTCTAGGTGGGACTTCCCTGACCACGCCCCGGCCGCCAGGTATACTTTTGTTGTTTGGGCACAGGGCACAGCGTAGCCCCAGCTGGTCTGCAACTGACTACAGTAGAGCAGGCTGGCCTTGAATTCTTGGAGCTCTGTCAGCCCCTGCCTCCTAAGTGCTGGGACTTAAGGCATGGGCCACCACACCTGACCGCTCTTTGCTGTGACAGTGTCTGTCTTTGTAACCTAGAGGCCTTTGAACTTGTTAAGTTCCTACTTCTGCCCTTCAGGGTCCTTCCTTAGTGCAAGTGCAGTGATAATCCCTGAGCATTGCACCACTGCCCACCATGGGCAGAAGAGGAACAGCCCAAGAGACAAGACACATCCAGCTTGGGGCGGAATGGCTCCATGGGTGTGCACTGTGCACTGCCTTAAAAGTTCCCGAAATTACACCTTCCAGAGGCTGCATTTATTACAGTCCATTACAGTCAATAAGAGAGTCCATGGAGCTGAAGTTCAGCTGGAGCTGCGGGAAGACACGCTCCTGTCGCGCAGCCTGCAATCCCTGCCTGGAAGTGCACCCGTGTTCGGCTACCAGGGAGGAGGCAGCTGGAGATGAGCCTGCGAGTCAGCAGGAGGGCTCAGCAGGTAGAGGACCCAAGTTTGCTCCCTGAGACAGAGGGAAACAGGAACCGGGTCCCAGACCTGCTCCAGGTGGAGCTGGTGGAGGAGGAGGACTTCCTGAGGGGCCCCTGTGGCGACGTCACTCTGAGCGCAGTACTTTCCTCCGCAGCACCTGGGCCTGTGAACGACTTGACAAATTTATAAAACAATAACTGAGTGTGTTGGGGTGGGGTCTCATGGGCTGAGCTCGTCTAGGTTAGACCCCAACCCTTGATTGATTTCTGAAACAGTCTCAGTATGTACCCCAGGCTAGCCCCTTCTTCCTCAGCCTCCTGAGGGTTGGGGGACAGGTGACTTCTCTATAATCTGTGACTGAGCTCTGTTGGATTTACTTCTTTATCTATTTAGAGACAGCCTGACTGCATAGCCCTTCCCATCCGGCATGGAGCTCACTGCGATCTTCCCAGGCCTGTGTGTCACCACGCCTGGAGCCTTTGGTTTAACAATGGCATGGTGGCACTCGAGAGGCAGAGACTGGAGGACCTCTGTAAATTCAAGGCCACCCTGGCCTACCGAGCAAGTTCCAGGACAGCCTGGGCTACATAGACAAACCCTGTCTTGAAAAACCAAGAAAAACAAAAAAGTCTTGAATTGATTCTCAAAAACATGAAAGTGCATGGAGCTGGGGTGTGGCTAGGAGGTAGTGTGTCTGCAAGGCGGCATGGTGGAGCTTCAGAGAAGGCTGTGTGACACATACCTAAATCAACAAACAGAAGCAAACCTGCAACCCTGATTTCCATGTGGCTGCTCAGAAGAGGCAAGAGCAGGGGCTCAATGAGGCATTTATTTGTTCACTCCCAAACACCAGAGCATGACCCGAGACAAATGAACAAGCCCCAGCAGGACGTCCACTGCGATAGAATATTATTCTATCCTCTGGTCTCTGTGAAATGAATCAGACAGAAAGTGACCCTTTTCACTTTCATGTTTTAGCCCAACAGGAGCTTCTGGTGAGGCGAAGGGGAAGGTCTGGGGTGTTAGCCTTCAGGCATTGTGTTGGACTGACCTGCTGGGTCCTGACAGTCATCAGCAAAGTCCCCTCAGAAAGGGCTTCCGCCAGCCTCCTCTCTTTTCCCCCCTCCACGTGAGCTCTGTCACACGACGGGCTCAGTGGATGGTTGCACAACAGTGGAAACATACTAGATGCTGAGGCCAGAGGATTGGTAGAGGTGGGAGCGAAGCCCAGACAACACAGTAACTTCCAGGACAATGTGAGGTACTGAGACCCTATCTTGAAATAAAAAACAAACAGGAAGTACGGTTCAGTGGGCAGCACTCTTGCCCATCGGACACGACGCCTTAGCACCACAGAGCCAAGCAAGATGGCTCAGGCCTACCATCCGGACACTCGGGAGGATGAGGCAGGAGGATCAGAGGTTGAAAAGCCAGCTTCAACTACACAGTGACCGGGAAGCCAAGCGTAGCCTAGGAAAAACACTAAAACCAGAGGAGCCTGACTTGATTGACACTGCTCACACGAGGTCTGGAATGTTCCTGCTGGGCACTCCCTACACCCACACCCTGGAGCCCAGTTCTGGTGCAGCCCGTCCGTCAGCGCTCCTAATCCCGCCCCGCCCCTGCGACGCATGCGCAGCCACGCGTGTGAGCTGGCCGAGCGCACGTGCTCAGACGTAGCCCAGAGTCCGCCCTTTCTCCTGCCAGATCAGGGGCGCCACAGCGCGCATGCACCTTAATTGAGGGCGGAGCCTCGCGGGGGACGATCTCGCGAGAACCCGGCCGGCAATCTCGTGGACGCCCCCTGCTCCTCGGCCTCCTGGCTGCGGTGCAGCGTCAGCTTCGCTCGGCCTCGGCGGCGGTCCACTCACCTCGGCTCCCCGAGCTCGGCCGCCCTCCGCCGCCCGCCCGCCTGCCTAGGCCGCAGCCCCTGGCTCGCGTCGCGCCGCCCCCTATGGGCCCCGGCTGAGGCGCCGCCGCCGGCCGCGGAGCCCTGATGCTGGCCCGGAGGAAGCCGGTCCTACCGGCGCTCACCATCAACCCCGCCATCGCGGAGGGCCCGTCCCCCACCAGCGAGGGTGCCTCCGAGTGAGTGGGCGGGACCTCAGAGGGAAGGGGCGGGGCCAGAGGCCGGGGCTGTGGTTTGAGAGGAAAGTGCAGTGGACGGAGGAAAAAGGGGCGTGGCCTCTGAGGACCAGAACAAAGCCCCGTGGGGGCGGGGCCTAAGGTGAGAGCCCTGTGGCCTGTGAGCTTAGAGGGGCGTGACCTGCGATGGGTGGGCGTGGCCGTAAGCGCTGACTTAAGAAGAAAGGGTCCAAAGTAACCAAGGGGTCTGGAGATGGGGACAAGGGGCAGTGTCTGACAGAGTGGCTCTTCGCATACACCTCTGCTGGGAAACTGAGGGGCGGGTGAGCATGAGAGAAAGGCCTGCATGCGTGTTGGGGCCACGAAAGGGGGATGGAGAGGAGCATAAGAGGAGGCGGGGCAGTTGGAGACCCAAGAAGGGGGAAGGGATGTGACACCTGGAGGGTCCGGGAGAGCGAGGGTTTCCAGGTGCGTGTGGGGTGTGACAGAGGAAAGGGCTGGCTAGCTCAGTCACATGAAGAGAGTGGAGCCTGCAGTGTCTGGCTGAAGTCCCAGGAGGCAGGAGGTCCTGGCTTGCAGGGGCCATGGTGACCTAGTGGGAAGTGGGCGGTGTCCTGAGAGGTAGGCAGGGGTAACTGACTCACTGTGGTGGGGTCATCAAAGAAGGTTGGGTATAAGGGTTTCCTGGGGGAGAAGGGGAAGGCTGGGCTTCCTGAGGTGAGAGGGGTGTGTCCTAGGACAGGGTACCAGACCAGGGGATCCTCTGTAAGGAGAGCTGAGGTGAGGCCCCCCTCTGTGGGAATATTGGTGTGACGGAAGGCCTCCCCACAGTACGCAGAGTGGGGACCGTGGCGTTACCTGAGAAGTAGGGTAGAGGGTCTTGGATGGCCTGGGGTGCTGGAGTTCTGAGAAAGGGTGTGGAGCTTTCCAGTCCTGAAGTCATAGTAAGGACGTGAGGTGGGGGGAGAGCCTTGAGACCCGAGCCCGCAGTGACGTCCTGGTGGTGCTGAGGATTCCCAGGGCTGGGTGCAGCCTGAGGTCCTGTGAGGCTGACCAGTATATCACCATCCTAGGATGCTCACTGTGTGTGAGAGAAAAGGGTGGGGTGGTAGCTTGTTTGAGGGTACCACTTCCCCATGGGTGGAGACAGGTCGTGGAAACGAAGTTCTCTCAACTGTAAAAGCGTAGCCCGTGAGGCTGAGGCAGGCAGATCGCTAGTTCAAGCCAACTTCAGGCAAGTTCAGAGGCAGTCTGGGTAACTTTTAGACCCATCCTAAAAGAGTCCCTGCCTAGAATCCCCCAGAGGGGCTGGCAGAGGTCATGCCTAGTGTGGGAGGCCCCAGGTTTTGATAGCATAATCACACACAAAATTAAATCACAGGCTGCCACCTTAGTCTCCTGCCTTAGCCTGGTTCTTGGCTGCAAAGCTACTTGAGATTCCCTCAGCAAAGACCTGATGTGGTCTGGAGGTGTCGTGGGTTCTCTGGAGCAGCTTATCACGATGCCTCCATACATGGGGATTCAGCCTCCATGTTTGGTAACCTGTCTGTGTCCCTTTCCTACATGGAGTGCAAGCATGGGTTTTGGGTACTTGGCTTATCCTCTACTCCTGGGGCTCTGCAGGGCAAACCTGGTGGACCTGCAGAAGAAGCTGGAAGAGCTGGACCTGGATGAGCAGCAGAGGAAGCGGCTGGAGGCCTTCCTGACCCAGAAGGCCAAGGTTGGCGAACTTAAGGACGACGACTTTGAGAGGATCTCAGAGCTGGGTGCTGGCAATGGCGGCGTGGTCACTAAGGCCCAGCACAGGCCATCAGGCCTCATCATGGCCAGAAAGGTGAGGAGCTCAGGGTGGGCGCTCATGCATTCTTCAGCTTCTCAATCAGTCTTGTGATGGTAAGGCAGGGTCTCACTGTGTATCCCTGGCTGTCTTAGAACTTGCTGTGTTGACCTGGAACTCATAGATGGCCCACCCCTTCCACACTCTAGAGCTGAGGGTGTGGAGTATTGGGGAGTGCTGGCCTAGCACGCTCCAGACCCCAGGTGTTGTAGCAGGACTTCCCACGCCACCCAGGCTCTTCCAAGACAAACCATCGCCAGGACTGGACTGTGAACTACTGACCGTTGGCTAGAAAACGGCCTCATGTGGAGTTCGTATGTGGTAGCCCTGGCCCAGTGGGACAACTGGACCTGGGTTCAGTTCCCAGCACCCATATGGTGGCTCGTGGCCGTGGTTGCAGGGATCTGACACCTGCACAGTGCCACACATGCAGTTGGGCACCAGTGCACATGAAACAGCAACAAGCAATGTCCTCCTCATCTGCGTGTGGCGTGCTGGGCCAACCCGGCTGCATAAGACTTTTCCTGCATGAGACTAAGCCAGTCCAGCACTCTGGTCTGCAGAGGAGCAGTGCTGGGGCCTGCACATGCACACAGCAGGAGCGCTGGGGCCTCTGGAGCAGGAGGGTTAACCCAGGCCTCCAGACACCAGACAGACTCTGACTGCGGAGAATGAGCAAGTGCCTGTGACGCAGGGTCGGCCTCCATGTTGCAGCCTCAGAGGAACCCTGAAGGCCACTTTGGAGTGGTGTCCCTGCTTCCCACCTCCTGTTGATTGGATGAGGCCCACCCTGTCACCTTTTGGTAGCCTGCTTCTCTTTGTTTTGAAAGCACACAGCCTCTGCCTCACAGAGCACCATTCCAGCACAAGGAGGCTGGTTCAGGAGCATGCTGGGCCCCAGGGCTTCGGCTGCAGGATTCCAGCCAGCTGAAGAGGAACTGGCCTGCCTGCCGGGAGGGAGGCCCATGAGGTGTGGAAAGGTGAGATTGCCCGCCCCTTCCACACTCTAGAGCTGAGGGTGTGGAGTATTGGGGAGGATACAGCCAGTGGTGAGTTGCTGGGGAAATCGCATCTTCCCTGCCCGGGGTCTCTTGACCAGTATGCACTGCTGCACTCTGGAACCTCCTCCTGCTTCACACAGAGAACCGCTGTGGCACTCAGAGGGCAGCAGGGGACCCTGAAGAGGTGGCCCAAGTCCTTGTGGGGACCCAGGAGCTCCCTGATAGCTGGATGCAGGTCACCTCTATCTGGAGCCACTTTGAGAGTTGTCCACACTACCCCTTGGCCAACATACCCTTCTCTGCCACGTGTGATTATCTGCCGTGATGGACCATACAGAAGACCCAACTTGTCTGCACTCTCCACTTTGGCTTTCTGTGACTAGTCCCACCTCCAGTGACATCCTTGACCTACAATCCCAGTCCCCTTGTGACTTGGGCCAGGCAGGGTCAGTGAAACTCAAGTGGCGCTGTAACACACCTGGGTTGGAAGCGGCTTCTTCATGACAAGTGACTTTTCTGCCCAAAGCTTGTGTAACGCAGAGGCCACATCTCAGTGCCAGCTGCTCCCTGACAAGGGCAGATGTGCAGAGCTGGTGTGTGATTACCAGAAGCTGTTGTCAGGCCTATGGCACGATGAGAGGGAGCCTGGGACTACATTAGGATTCCATGCTCTTGGAAACATCCATATTCCATGGTCCAAGCTCTGCACTGGCTGTCAAGACATTTGTCAAAGGTGGAGGCCTCCTGAATCTATTGCACTGTAGGCTCCGTCCATCTTGCTGACTCTGCTTCTAATCACAGGAAGTGATGTCCAACCCTTTCATCTCATCTCCCTAGTGGAGGAGGATGGCCCTACTTAAGGGCTGTCCCCACTGCCAGCAGGGGACATACAGAGACCCACAGTCAGGCTCGTATCAGAGGCAGTTCAGGTGTTTCCACACAGATCCAGGTCCCCTGGGAAGCTTCTGGGGCAGCAGTGATCTGAGGTCCCAGGACTGTTTTCAAGCTGCACAACAAGATGGCATCCTTACCTCCTAGTCATCACTGTTGTTGCTGAGCAACCCCTTAGTGCCGGGAAGCAGCCCCAGTCCTGGCTCACCTACTTGGCAGCGGCTGCCATTGGGAGCTGGACATCAGTGGACGAGACGGTGGTAACACCTGCACTTGCTTCTCTTCAGGGCTGGTGTTCCTGTGGGAACTCACTGTGCCGCCCTTGCTCCTCTCAGTGCACCTCTGATGTCACACAGGCACCTGACAACTGACAGCCTCCCTCATCTGTGGCTGTGCCCGACTCAGAAGATCTGCTGCACCCTGGGTCTCTGCTCTGCATTCACTTCTAGCTCTCCCGAGATTCTCAGAGCAGACCTGGACCCCCACAGGTCCTGGTCATGTGAGCACCAGGAGATGCAGGCCCACCACACAAGCCCATGCCCAAACACTGGAGTTCCTGGGACTGAGGCAGACAGCTTGAGCTTACCATGGTTGTGGGGTGAGCCAAGTCGGTGAAGCGTGGGAAGCAGAGCCAGCCTGGGCTACTCTTCTAGGACTGCTTGAGCATTTGGGGTTCTGAAATGTTTGTGGTTCTCATGAGGGCTGCTCGTCCTTTGTGTGTAGAACACTGTTTCCACGTGTTGTGCCTGCTTCTGTAGTGGTGTGGCTTTGAGGAAAGATCTTTTTTGTTTTGTTTTGTCCTTTTGAAACAGTATCTTGCTATGTAGCTGTGGTTGGTTATTTTAAAACTTCCTCTGTAGACCAGGCTGGCCTCAAACTCAGAGATCCACCTGCCTCAGCCTCCCGAGTGCTGGAATTGAAGGGACGGCATGGTTTTAATTTTTCAAAAGATAATAAACATAGAAAAATGTGTCTGTGGGTGCCCAGAGGTGAGAAGAGGGCACTGGCTCCTCTGCAGTCCTCTGCAAGTAGAGTTCTATGTGGCTGTGAGTGGCTGCATGTGTGCCAGAAGCACCTCAGGACCCATGCAAGAGCAGGAAGTACTCTTAACCACTGAGCCGTCTCTGTTTTTTTTTTTTTTTTGGTTTTTCGAGACATGGTTTCTCTGTGGTTTTGGAGCCTGTCCTGGAACTAGCTCTTGTAGACCAGGCTGGTCTTGAACTCACAGAGATCCGCCTGCCTCTGCCTCCCGAGTGCGTGCTGGGATTAAAGGTGTGCGCCGCCACCACCCCTCTCATCCCTAGGTGTCTCTTTGTCCCCTGCGAAAAGACCTCCCCAGTTTGCCCCACCACCCTTCTGCTCACTAGCCATGCTAGTGACACCTGATTGCGGTTTCTGTGCTTGTCCACAGCTGGCATTTCCACCTCAGCCCATCTCTCCCCAACCTCTGACCCCTGCCTTGCCCATGCAGAGACTTCCTTTGTCTCTGGGCCACCCACGTGCCCGTGGCCTTCTGTGGAGCAGGGGAGTGCCTCGTTTTTCCTGATGCTGCCCCATGGGCCCTGGGGTGCCCTGTGAACCCTACAGGCTCCATGTGTGTTTTCTGATTAGCCACACCAGCTTCTGGTGGTGACACCTGGCCTCCCCTGGCAGATTTAGAGTCTTCGGCTGATGTGCCTGGCCATGGCTGCTTGCCCTGGGCGCCAGGGTCCAGGCCTGTGCACTCTGGCTGCTCTCACATCGCTCTGGACTCCTGAGAGGGTGGGAGGGTGAGTGGACCTGGCCTCTGAGCAGAGCTTTGCTCTGGAAATGGCGGGCCTGTAGGAAGATAGGATGCCTGGTGCATGGGGTAGCTTGGGTCACACGTGATTCACATGAGCATGGTACATTTTCCCCCATAAGAATACAATAGTGACTTCCCCCCTTTTGTTTTTTTTGGTTTTGTTTGTTTGATTTGTTGGTTTTTGGTTTTCCTGAGACCGGGTTTCTCTGTGTAACAATCCTGTCTGTTCCTGGAACTCACGCTGTAGCCCAGGCTGGCCTCAAACTCATAATGATCCTCCTGCCTCTGCCTCCCAAGTGCTGGGATTAAAGGCATGCGCATCATGACCGCCTAGCTCTACTCCCCCCCCCCCTTTAAAGATTTATTTATTTATTTATTTATTTATTTATAGGCCTGTGGGCCAGAAGGGGGCACCAGGTCTCATTACTGATGGTTGTGAGCCACCATGTGGTTGCTGGGAATTGAACTCAGGTCCTCTGGAAGAGCAGCCAGTGCTCTTAACCACTGAGCCATCTCTCCAGCCCTACTTTCCCTTTTTTAAATCTTCATTCTAAGCCAATTTTACTGAAAGACACCTATTTTAGACATTTCATGTGGAGGACCCTCCACATTGAGTGTCAGCTGCTCCCTACCCGTGGTGAATAATGTTCCAGTGTGTGGACAAGCGTGCTGTGTGCCCGTCATCCATCTGGGGACCTAGTCTTACCCACTCACTGAGAGCCCATGTAGGCGATGTCCTCCCTCTCACAGGCACATGCCCAGGATTGGGTCTGTGGGGGCTGGGTGGCCAGAACACCCCTCCCTCCTCTGAGTAGCTGCCCTTCCTCCTTGCAGCTGATCCACCTGGAGATCAAGCCAGCTGTCCGCAACCAGATCATCCGGGAGCTGCAGGTGCTGCACGAGTGCAACTCACCCTACATTGTGGGCTTCTACGGGGCCTTCTACAGTGACGGCGAGATCAGCATCTGCATGGAGCACATGGTGAGGCTCTGTCCCCACCTACCAGGCAGTGTGGGTGCTGTATCATTCATGGTCTTGGGATCCCGGGCAGTCTCTAGGGTGTGGTCCCCACACTAAGCCCGTGGGAAGTGGGTTCCTGCTCCAGTAGGTGTTTGTACTCTCTGGGCTGGTGAAAACACACTTAGGTAAGTGGCCCTCAGCTCTCTAGACTGTTACAGTCTGGGTCTTCAGGCTTGGGCAGGATGGAGGGTTGGGCGCAGTGAGAATCCTACCCAGTCCCTGCTGAGCCAGGCACCAGACCTCTGAGATTCCCTTGCAAGGATTGGTGGCTGCTGTGGCCCATGGGGTAGGCTGTCCTCACTTTTATTAGGGGTGTGCACGCATGTACCCTGAGAACCTGTCACTCACAGGAACATGGAGCTGTGGCCTCTGATGCAGCTCTGTAACTCCCATGTTGTGGTGGCTCATATTCACAAGACCTTGGGAAGGGCACAACACCCGGTCCTAGCTGTGTCCATGTACTGAGGCCTGGCCCTGGGCTGACAGGACCTCTGGTCTCCACCTGCAGCTTGTGTACACAGAGAGCTTGTCCAGCCCCAGTTTGAGAGAAGGCTCCTGTGGGCAGAGCTGCTCGCCCCACAATTAGATACCAAGGAGAAGGGAAGGGAGAAGCTGGGTCCTGCTGTGCCCATCCAAGACCACTTCCTACGAGGGCCACTTCTCAGAGGGCCTGCCCCTCCCCCCCCTGCAGACCCAGCTGTTACTGTGGACAAGAAGCTGTGCGTGTCATTAGTGCTGCACGCCTGCTCGAAGCCCGCTGGAGAGTTGAAACTGTCCTTGCGGTTGCTTGGCAGCTGCAGAGGGTTGGAAGGCACTGAAGGAACACCATGTCAGGGAAAGCTAAGGTTCCAGGACTCAGCCCTCAGCCTGACTTATCTGTGTTTGAGTCCCTCGAAGGAAAATGTGATTCTCTCTGATGTAGTTGGCATTTTCCTTGGGCAGTCCGTCAGCTCCTAAATAAAGACACAGAGACTTACCAGTTATGAATGCTCAGCCTTAGCTTAGGCTTGTCCCACTAATTCTTTTAACTCAATTTAACCTGTTTCTTTTATCTACGATTTGCAGTGGGGCTTTTTACCTTTCTTCCTTTCTGTATGTACTACTCTGTGGCTGGCTGAGTGGCCCCTGGTGGTCTCCCCTTCCCCCAAACCTAAATTCCTCCTCCTATTCAGTCTCTTTGCCTGAAAGTCCCTACCATACTTCTCTCTCACTATTGGCCATTCAGCTTTTTATTAGATCAGTCAGGTGCCTTAGGCAGGCAAGGTGAAACAGCAGCATGTCTTTCCATAATTAAACAAATGCAGCATAGACACATGTAACACGTGCTGGCTTCGTTAGTAGATATTCTGCAACACTCTGATGGTGGCAGTCTCTAGAGCACTGGGCACGTGCAGGGATCAGCAGGCGGCATCTGCAGTTCCCTGTCTTGCTCTGGGACACTATGATCAGGCTGTGATCATCTGAACTCACTCCCAGGGACTTTGAGCCATGCCTGGGGATGTGTGTAACTCAGGTGTCGAGCTCAGGTGTCGAGTCAGGGACAGGTCAGTCAGGCCTCAACAACACCTTGCAGGGCCCAGGGTGGGCTAACAGAAGCCTTGGCCCTTGCTGCCCTCAGTAGGCAGCGGCCTGTTCTTTCCGGTGTCCAGCCAGCGTCACCTCCAATCTCCCAGTTCATAGCGACAGAGCGTAGGGTTACAGTGACCCAATACCCAGTCGTACAGGTCCACCTGGTGATAGTCTACTGGTCGTTCAGCAGCTTCAGAGATGGCCAGGTCTTCTGCATCTGCCTTGTGTGTCCCACTGAGCACTGGGGAGGCAGGGGGCAGGGGAATACACACGGGGCTCGGGAGCACAGGAAGGGGCCCGTTTTAACTCATTTTCTGACATCCTGTTTTCCTGTGTCAATTTGGAAATGCACGTAGGTATGACAACCTGGCAGTGACTGCCCAGAGTCAGGGCAGGATTTCCTCATCTGTTGAGTAGAGTCAGGGCCATGTCCTGGGTCTGAGAACCAGCCAGGGCAGATGACTGTGAGCCAGGCCTGTCCCATCCTGCCCACCACTTTCCCTCGTTGTCCTGGTGCGAGGAGCTGACTCTCGACAGAGGTTCAGGGTTCTGCAGCCTCCCATATCATATGCCTGCTTGAGCGCCTGTGGAAAGTGCAGGCTGCTGGTGGTTGGGTTTCTTGACAAGGCCGGTTCCTCAGCTGCTGTCTCTGCGTGCAGGATGGTGGCTCGCTGGATCAGGTTCTGAAGGAGGCCAAGCGGATCCCTGAGGACATCTTGGGGAAGGTCAGCATTGCGGTGAGTTCTCCAGCTGCTGTTGCTCTGACAGCAGCCTCTCCCTGGGAGACTAAGCAGGTCATGTCCTAATCCACTTGGGGTCCTCTGCTCTCTTCTCCATGACTACACCGAGCTGAGTGTGGTAGCATGCACCCACCTAGCGTTCAGAAGCCAGGGGCAGCCTGATCTATGTAGCGAGTTCCAGGTCAGCTAGGGTTACAGAAAAAATTCCAGGCCTGGTACCACACACCTGTCATCTCAACAGTTGAAGGGCCAAGGCAGGAGGATTGCAGTGAGTTTGAGGCTACCCTCCACCCTGGACTTTCAAATACAGACAGTGACCATGTGCTTGCCAAGGATGGCTAATGAGGGGCTTGGGGCCTTAACGTGTCACCCACTTGCCATGGTTGGGGAGGTTCATCACAGCCCAGAGCTGGTGCCATTGGCACAGAAGCTACCCAGGTCTGACCCAACTGGTGGGTCACCATGCTGTCTGGCAGGTGCTCCGGGGCCTGGCATACCTGCGCGAGAAGCACCAGATCATGCACAGAGGTGAGTGGGTCCAGCCTTGTGTGGGCAGGGCCTGGGCACAGAGGTGAGTGGGTCTAGGCTTGTGTGGGCAGGGCCCGGGCACAGAGGTGAGTGGGTCTAGGCTTGTGTGGGCAAGCCCGGGCACAGCCTCACCCCGGTACTCTTATCTAGACGTGAAGCCCTCCAACATTCTGGTGAACTCTCGAGGCGAGATCAAGTTGTGCGACTTCGGGGTGAGCGGCCAGCTGATTGACTCCATGGCCAACTCATTTGTGGGGACGCGCTCCTACATGTCTGTGAGTGTCCTGGCACCCCTGCACATCCTCACCGGGGTCCATATGTGGTTGTGTGCATGGCCCCTGTCTGGTTATGCCAACCCCAGCTCTGTCCCTGTCTCCTCCGACAGCCAGAGCGGCTGCAGGGCACGCATTACTCTGTGCAGTCAGACATCTGGAGCATGGGACTGTCGCTGGTGGAGCTGGCCATCGGAAGGTACCCCATTCCCCCACCCGATGCCAAGGAATTAGAGGCCAGCTTTGGCCGGCCTGTGGTCGATGGCGCAGATGGAGAGCCCCATAGTGTCTCACCGCGGCCCAGGCCACCCGGACGCCCCATCAGCGGTATGGGACAGGGCAGCTAGCTGGGGAGGGACGGGTAGGGGACCAGCTGCTGCTCTCCTGTCCCTTGGCCAGGGCAGGCTGTAGTCGCAGTCCTCAGACTCCTGGGCTTCCTGGGGACAGAGCTGCAGGCAGCAAGCGCCTCGTCAGCTGCCCAGGGCAGCCACACCTGTTGTTGCCAGCTGAAATGCCCGGAACTCCACTCTGGGTCAAGCCTTGGCCAGCTGCTAGGTTTCCCAGCATTTCCTCATGAAACTGTGTAAATGGGGGCTGGGGTGCAAAAGGAGCCCGACATTGCCTACAGCCTGCCCCTCAACCCAGTGCCATCCCGGTGCTGGGGCCTCCGCTGGCACAGGAAGGGCAGACCAGTTGCCAGGAGTCCTGGGGATTCAGTCCAGCCCTTCGAGTGGCCACCTTGGCCACTGAGGGTCAGGGACAGAGTCCTGGTGTGGGGATAGAGTCTCTGCAGAGCACTGGGTGCTGGAATAAGCAACTTGTCGGGTGTGCGTGTCTTTGTGACTGCTGAAATAGGACAGGCACTGAGCCTGTCTTCCTGAAGGCCCTGCTGCCCTGTGATGAGAACATGCGACCGCTCCTAAAGGAGGTCACACTCTTATGTGTGCTGTCACCTCTGGACCTTCTTTGTGCCATGGTGTTACTAAGCACAGTGTTGGGGAGGTCCCCACATATGGCTGGACCTGCTGGGTGGGCGGTGTGTGATTCTCGTGCCCTTAATGTGCCCCTCCCCACCCTGTGCTCTTGCTGGCTGTTTACCCTGACCCTGAATTGCAGGCCATGCTCCTCAGCTAACCCCTTCTTGATGGTACCAGGGGTCCCAATCCCCTGGTGAGCTGGGGTGGTGACAACAGGCCAGCTCCCTGGCCAGCACCTTCCCTGCCTAAGTCCCAAAGTAGCACCCTATGGCAGGATGGGCAAACAACCCAGTTCAGCTGCTGTCCACCAGGGCCTTGGGCAAGGGTCACCACCCGCCAGCCTCCTGTTCCAGGTTCTCAGCAGCTGCTCTGCAAGGTCACATCAGTGTCCTTGCTTGGTCACCAGACCCTCCCCCACCTGCCAGACCTCCAGAAGCTGGGGCTGCGACTGACGGACTGGAAGCATCCCCAGCCTGTACAAGTGCAGGGGTGAGGCCAGACAGGGCCACCCTTTTAAGTTTTGTCTCCCACCCCCAGTTATCTGTTCTTTGTCCTGCCAAGTAGGTCATGGGATGGACAGCCGACCTGCCATGGCCATCTTTGAACTGCTGGACTACATTGTGAACGAGGTCTGTGCCCCTGGGCTTTGGGCACTTTGCTGTGGATGGGAGGGGACTGTCGTCCTGCTGTGGCCACCTCCATAGAAAGAGGGTGGAGGGTGGAGGCCATGGAAGAGCTCTTGCCTAGAATCCCCCAGTGAGGGTGAGGGGCTGGGTTAGCTCCTCCGTGTTCCCGCCTCCTCCTCTGGGAAGTTGCTGCCCTCCCTCATATTTGGGCTCAGAGAGCTCCTAAGGCAGGCTAGCTTCTAACCAGACTGAGGCAGGGGCATTGAGTTTAGTCACATAGTGACTTCCAGGTAAATCTTGGCTACAATACGAGACCCTAACTCAGAAGCATAAAAAGCGGATAATGGAACAAAAACTCCAAGCAGGTCTCCAGAAAGGACAAGGTCTAGGAACACTGGCAGACATGAGCTTTGGACCCTGCTCGCCTGCTGTGGCTGAGCCTGGGTGGGGATGTGGCTTGTGACAGGATGGCCACTGTTCCTGGCTTTGACTCCAGTTCAGCCAGCACTTCTCCCAGGAAGTCCTGGAGCCACCCTTCACAGGAAGGACTCAGCCTTTGCACAGGGTGTCCCTACCTGCCTACTTGATAGTGTTGAGAAGCTGAACTACAGGAACCCAGCACAGTGAGCGAGTGGCCAGCATCCCTGCAGACCCCAGTGACCCTTCCCTTCCTCCACAGCCGCCTCCCAAACTGCCCAGCGGTGTGTTCAGCTCGGACTTCCAGGAGTTTGTGAACAAATGGTGAGGTGGGCCCAGGGGTGGTGAGGCAGCCACAGTCTACTGTGCTGTCAGGGGCACATGTCCCCACACCTGGGGGCATAGACACAGCTCCCACCCAGTGGACATCTGGGGGGGTCAGCCGAGCCGTTTGATCCCCAACCGTTAAAGTATGATCAGTTGTGGTGAGGTATTTCCCAAGCACAGTGGCCAGCTGCTTGTGTGCTGGGCAGTAGAGTCGCCAGCCCTTTGCCTTTGCTAGTTCATTAGAAACTTAGCTATAGCCGGGCGGTGGTGGCGCACGCCTTTAATCCCAGCACTCGAGGCAGAAGCAGGTGGATCTCTGGGAGTTTGAGGACAGCCTGGTCTACAAGAGCTAGTTCCAGGACAGCTAGGTTGTTACACAGAGAACCGAGAACTGTCTTGAAAAAGAAAAATGAAAATCAGGGGCTACTGGTGGGCAGACCCCCACCCACCCACACCCACCCCTTAGAACGCCTAAGCGTAGCTGCTGAGTGACTTTCGTATCTTATCCCCGTGCTAGCCTCATTAAGAACCCAGCGGAGCGGGCGGATCTGAAGATGCTGATGGTGAGTGGAGGTGCCCGAAGCCTGGGGTCTGATGGCCCTGAGGCTGACGTTGTCTGGACGTGAAAGGCTCTCTAGGCGTATGCCCTGGAAGGCCCCTCCCCCAGGGTGGGACTTAGGGCAGACCTCAGCACCCCCACCGGACAGGCCTAATCTGAGTTAAGCTCCATCTGTCTTTCTTAGGCTCCTGAGGTGCTGGTTATGGGTGTGCACCCCTGCCCACTCCAGAGATGGACGCAGGCCTCATAGCTGGGTGTGGTGGCGCATGCCTGCCATGCCAGCCTAGGGAACTCAGCTCATGCACACACCTTTCTGGCACTCAGGGAGTTTAGGCTCGAGGATCAGAATTTGAAGGTCCTCTTTGACTACATAGACGCGTAAGGTTAACGTGGACCATGTTTGACTCTGTCGAGAGAGAGAGAGAGAGAGAGAGAGAGAGAGAGGAGAGAGAGCGCGAGAGAGAGCGCAGTAGGGTGGCCTTGCCCCCTGTGACCAGGCTGTGCACTTCTGTGTCCTATCTCACCCAAACTACCGCGTGAAGGGCGTGGCCATCCTGTCCCAGCACACCCTCAGCCAGCCTTGGAGATGAGCCACTGTACAGGCCAGGGACACCCACCTGAACAGGGCTGGGGTCCAGGCCCTGACTGGCGCCTTGTCTCTTTCAGAACCATGCCTTCATCAAGCGCTCGGAGGGGGAGGAGGTGGACTTCGCGGGCTGGCTGTGCCGAACCCTGCGGCTGAAGCAGCCTAGCACACCCACGCGCACCGCAGTGTGACCGCCATTGCCCAGCAGCCTCTGTGCCCTTGTCCCTGTCAGCACAGTGGCCGCCTCTGGGGACAGTGAAGCTGTGTGTTGTGCAGGGGACCTGCTTCCTGCGTGTGAAAACCAAACAAATGGAGAGAGAAAGCTGCCCCTGTGCTCCTGGCCCATTGCTCGCTCTCTGCATTCGCTCGCTCGCTCATGGGGTGGAAGAAGGTGGGGCCTCCTTCCCAGAAAGGGTATGGGAGCCGGGGTGCCTTCTATGCCCTGTGCCGAGCTGATGGAGCATCGTGCACAGAAAGTGCCCTGTTGTACTCGGGCAGAGACCCCAGCCAGTCTTGGCGACCCTGTCACCTCTGCCCACCCACCAAGCAGAGTCAAACTCAGCCCCAGTGGGCTGTGAGAAAAGTGGAGAGGCCTCTTCCAGTTCCCACAGCTGCGGCTGAGCACGCCTCCCACATGCAAATGTCACACGTGCTGACATGGACTTGGACCCAGAGCCAGCACTATAGAAGTGCTGGAACTTGGGATCCACAAAAGTCCTGAAGCAGGTTCTGTCTTCCACCAACACTGCTGTGGTCCTGCCCAGCTCAGCTGCAGAGCCCCCAATTGCTAGGAATGGGAGACCCCGAGAGGGGCCAAGAAACGGAGTATACAGTACAAAGGGAGATGGGACATCCCTCCACCTCACTGCTGTGAATCTTGTGGGAAGGCTAAGGCAGGAGAATGGCACATTCTAGGCTAGCCTGTGTTCCATAGTGAGAGCACACCAGGCATCGGGATCTTACAGGTTTGTGTTTTCTTGTTTGTTTTTCCAGACATGATTTCTCTGTATAGCCCTGGTTCTCTTGGAACTTGCTCTGTAGACTGTGCTGGCCTTGAGCCCAGAGAGATCTGCCTCCCAAGCCTGCCTTTGTGTTGGAGACACAAGGTCTCTACAGTCTATGCTAGCCTAGAGATGGAGTTTCCCCTGCCTCAGCCTCCTGAATAATGCAGAGGTAGGCATGAGCCATAGCTAGCAGCCTTTCTTCTCCACGTGTTTCTCCTGTGTGCAGTTTTGATTTTTTTTTGGTTTGCTTTTGATGCAGGGTCTCCACATAGCCTGGCTGTCATTATATAGACCAGGTTGACCTTGAACTCACAGAGATCTGCCTGCCTTCCCTGGTGCCAAATTAAAGGTGTGCACTACACCCTGGCAATTAATCTTTTTTGAGACAGGGGTAGCCTAGGCTAATTTGTGACCTCATACTGCCCCCCACCTCCTCAGTGCTGGGGGTAGACCCCAAGTCCCTAGCAGCACTCTAAAGCATTTGGTCAGGAGCACCTGGACCACCAGTAGTCTGTGTGACTGCTGCTGGACCCTGTTTTATTTAAAATGTGTCTCCTAACCTGGAATGTACTGTATGAACCAGCCTTTCCTCTACTGTCCTGTGCCCAGCCCTCCACAGAGAGCAGTGACACAAGCCACTCAGCACATCCACCTGCCTTGGCCGACACCCGGCCTGCTGCCTCAGGACACCACTGGCTGGTTGTCCCCATGTCTCACTCGCTGCACTATCCCCATCCACTGCCTTAGCCTTGACTGGACTTGGGGTCCATAATTGTGCAGGCAGGCCTAGGGACCTGAGTTCAGATCCCAAGTGCACAGCTAAGTCAGGCGTGGCCATGTGGACCTGAACACTAGGTGTTTGGAGGGTCCTGGGTGCTCAGCATCCAGCCATCCTGTGTTTGGATGCAGAGGCAGGTGGTCACCCAGGGCTACCCAGCCAGGTGCGGTGCCCAGGAAATACACCTGGGGTCTGCTGGATGGGGTGGCTCTCAGCACTAGGAAAACTGAGGCAGGAGGATTGTTACAAGTTTGAGACCAGCCTACAAAGTGAGATAGTCTCGGGCAATAACCCGAGACCAAGAACCAGCTGCAGTGGCAGCGTTCGCCTGTCCTCCCAGCTGTTGGGATGCAGAGGCTGGGGGATTGGGTTCTATGCCCTGGTTAACATACGTGGTGAGCTCAGAGGTTAGCCTCAGCTATGTGACAGGAAGCCGAGAAGGGGTCATGTAGCTTGTGTTGTCACCCCCAGCTGTAAGACAGCTGACACGCTGGGGCCCTCCACCACAGCTAGGGACGTGGGACATATGCAGAACAGTTCTTGCCTGGGAGTACCAGGGATGTTTCTCAGCATCTCAGAGCAGTGGTGTTCCTTGGCCAGTGCTCCCAAGTCTGTGTGTCCAGACTGATACCCAATACGGTGTAGGTACACAGGGAGAAGCATCTTGGAACCTTCTGGAAGGTGGACAGCAGCTGCCACCACCACCAGAACCCAGTTATGGGCATCAGCAGCTTTACAGAAGACAGGCTACTGCTGGCTCCCTCTTCCCTGTCTTCCCAGAGCAGGCTAGTCACCTCTTAGGCACCTGCATCCACAGGCCAAGTGGCTCCGGGCACAGGTGCAAGCCATGCCTGTGTTACCGTGACTCCAGAGAGGGGTGACAGCGGGGCTCTGGTTTCTACCAGCTTCTGGTGAAAGGAGGGGTCTGTAGGGCCAGCGGTGGGTCTCTCGGAACAATGGGCAGGTGAGGGAGGAGCCTGTCTCACCGGGCAATGCCTGGTGCTGTCACCTGCAAAGTAGCTGTGCCCACACAGTGGCTCTTGTTCACTGGGCAGGTAGAGGTGTAAGGGGGGAGGGGGTTGAATATCAAGCTGAGGCCTCACAGTTCAGGAACCTGAGGAAAACCTGGCACCTTGCCTGCCTCAGTTTCCCTGTCCTTAAAGAGTGGAGCACACTGACCTGGAAGCTAACTGTGGCTACATGGGACCTTACCTGGGCCTGGGGGGGAGGGGGTCGGTGTTTTGGTGTGTATCATTGTATCATTAATCCCAGCACTTAGGAGGTAGAGGCGGGCGGATCTCTGTGAGTTCAAGGCCAGCCTGGTCTACAGAACAAGTTCCAGGACAGCCAGGGCTACACAAGAGAAACCCTGTCCAAAAAAAAACCCAAAAAAGTTGGCTATGGTGCTGGTCCTGCCCTGTGGTGGGCATTCCAGTGCCAAGAGAAAGCCTCCTAGATGGCTATTGATACTGGCCTATAATTTAGGCCAGGCTATGCTATGGAGAGAGCCCCTGTTTCAGAAAATAAAATAGGGATTGGTGAGTTGACCTGGTCTGTGAAGTGCATGTGAAGTCGTGGACTCGCAGACCCTCAGAAAACCAGGCACCATGGGGACTGAGGCAGGAGGACCCCTCTGCTCACCAGCCAGGCAGCTTCTGTGCACACACACAAACAAATCGAGATAATTGCAGAGCCGGGCAGTGATGGCGCACATCTTCAATCCCAGCACTCTGGAGGCAGAGGCAGGTGGATCTCTGAGTTTGAGTTCAGCCTGGTCTAGAGTGAGTTCCAGGACAACCAGGGCTACACAGAGGAAACCTGGCTCAAAATAAAAAAAGAAAAGAAAAAGTAATAGCATGGTACCACATGTCTGTCATCCGTGTGTGGACCCTGCACATGACTGATGGCAAGTCTACAAGTCACAGCCACAGGATATGTTTCTCCTGAATCGAGGATAACAGAGTTTTCTTGCAGACTCTGGCCTGGAGTTGGGTGGTCCCTGGGCAGCAGACCTGTGCCCACGTCCCTCCCACAGACTCCCTCAGACCTTGGGGCCCAGGATGGGGTGGTCCCCGGGCAGCTGACCTATGCCCACATCCCTTCCACAGACTTCCTCAGACCTTGGGGAAACTTTTGGGTTTTTTTTTTTTTTTGGAGGTCTTTTGTTTTTAGTTATGTGTGTTTGTGCACATCTGCAGTGCCCAGAAGAGGGCATCAGATCCCAGGAGCTAGAATTACAGGTGGTTGTGAGCCTCTGATGTAGATGCTGGGAACCAAATTTGGGTCTTTTGCAAGAGTCACAAGTATCCTAACAGCTGGTTATTATCATTTTATCTGTCTGTCTGTCTGTCTATGTATTTATTGCAGGACGACTCTTGGAATCCCCTTACCATGTCAAGCTCAGGTCTTCATGCCTGTTTACAGCACCTTCAGCTGCTTAGCCAGCTCAGTGGCCTCTTGGGGACTCAGCTCTTTGATACCCATTCCCTGCTTCTCCTTGGGATGCCCTCTTACTGTGTCCCAGACCTCAGCCTTTGCTTGTTCTGTTGTTCCACATGGGGCCCTGTGACCCACTATGCAGGGAAGCAGGCTCTTAGGGCCTCGGTTTCATGGGAGCTGGGCTCTCCTGGAAGAGAAGGGTTCAGAGAGTGAGCGGGCAGCCCCGTGTCTCATGCTTGGAACTTCAAGGGAGGTGTGCTGTCTCAGATCCACAGCCCACAAGAAAGAGCCGGAAGTGCAGGAGGAAGCCCCAGCGTGGTGTAGACGCCTCCCCACTTCTCACCCCGTCACTCTTCCTCCTATGTCTCAGTGAGCCCCAGAGGCAGCTCCTGTCTGTCCTCACTTTTGCTGGGGTCCTCCTGAACCAGCCCAGCTAGGAGGGTTTGTCAGGGGCCCTGTCTCCTGCACTGGACAGTTTTCTATAGTTTTTGTGTTCCTATTTATTTGGTTATCTAACTTACAGGAGATGGACCACCTTTGCACGTGACAAATACTGAGCTCAGTTCTTCCATATGGATGTGTGTGAATATGTGTGCATTTATGTGTTTGCTATCGATGGAGACACGATCTTACTATGTATCCCAGGCTGACTTGGAACTCACAGAGGACCCATCTTTATGAGACTTCAAAAGGTTATGCTCCGGTCCCAGACTGGTAGAGCTCCTCCTCCTCACCCTCCAACCTGAACTTGACACTGATCCGTCCAGGCCAACCAGTGAGTCCCAAGAATCCTGTTTCCGCCTCCCTGGGAACAAAGGCAGGGGCTGTCATTCCTCAACTTTCTCTGTGGGTGCCAGCAATTCGAACTCAGGTCTTCTTGCCTGTCTATGCTGGGAGTGGGGAATCAAGGCTTCCATTGAGGGAGACAGAATGTTCTGGAGTCGTTGTGCCACCCTGAGGACGTGTGAAAATGTGTTGATGGAGTTCTGAGTGTTTAGAGAGTAAATAGTGAGCTCTGCTCACTCCGTGGAGCCTTTCAGCAAAGCCCCGCCCACCCGCTTGACCTCACACTGCACAGGCGGTGTCGTCCCCCAGGTGGCCAGTC